AAACCTGCCGCTGAAGCTTAATTGGAAAGCTGGAAAAGGGCAGGGGTGGAGGAGGGGAGAGGCATGCATGGAGAGATGTGGGGAAAGAAGTGGGAGCAAGCATGGAAGATAGACATGCTAAGTACTGTTTAAAATCTAACTTTGGGAAAAAAAAGTCTTTGATGCTATTATTCATGTACTCAGGCACTGTGCTGAAGTACATTTTTATGCACTTTAACATATTGTAGTTACTTATTTTGCACCTACCCAGAAATATTTAGCTTGTACTTTAATACATAACCAATCAATAATCAGTATTTTTATATTAAATGTCACCCAACTGCAGTTTTCCTCAGCAGCACATAATTGGTTGTTTTTGGTTTTCAGTCCACAACTTTACCGCTTTTAAGTTTCACCACTCCTCTTTTGCTTAGTTTTTGTGTGCAGCAGGCAGCTATTTTCAGCAAAGAAGCTCTAAAAATGCACTGTAGGCTGCCCTTCCAGCCCAGCATCAAACAGCTGACAGACAAAGGTACTGTAGCTATTTAAGTTGAGTTGGTAGAGGCCAAAAACTGGTAAAAGACAGTGCATATATGGCTTATATTCATCAGGTTGTCAAAAAACATGATTCCAAATCAGTGCTATGTTGTCCTGATGGTATGTTAACCTGTTTCTAGTGGGTACAAATGGTGGTTATTGCAAGTGGTTATTGCTAACACCCAGGCCCTGGAGACACTATATTTCTAAGACTTCAGTTGTGTATTGTGCCAGGAATTGTACATGGTTTACTTTTAGGACAAAAGCCTAACTCATTGACATACTATATGTTCATTTTCACTTCAGTGAAAATTCCAGAGAGTATTAGCATCCTGCCGCTGGAATATAGGCGACATATTTACTTGTAATGTAGTATTTTTACATTGTAGCATTGCTGCTTTAAAAATCTAAATACTTTTAATGCTGACCATGGCCTGGATGGATACTGACTGTAGAGACTCAGTATGCAGTTTGACATCCACACACACACACACACACATAAATGCACATTCACCACATATACAATCTCATACATAGCTACACTAACTTGCACCGTCTCCCGGGGGGCACCTCTCATCACTCTCCCGGGGACAACAGAGAGGGACAGGCTGGGGGTCTCTCTCTCTCTCTCTCACTGTCTCTGTTTCCCTGAGTATGACAAATAGCACAATTCTGTTTAGTCGCCATCTATAGAAAACATATCAGCCTGGGGATCATTTTCTTAATGTCTCTGCTATTAGTTTTGGTTTCCCTTTGGCAGTATTAGCATGCCGGCTATTACGCTCTGCTTGTGTGTGTGTGCATGTCCTCAGGGGTCCAGGTACAATTCTATTAAACCAGACTTGTTTGTTTATTTCCTGTCTCCCTCTACATGTGCCCTGCTAGCTAGAACCTCGAATCGTAGTGTTTATATGTACATGCATAGGCCACATATAAGTTCATATACAGTCAGAATCCAGTGTTTGTTTTTGTCCGTTGTGCTGCTGTAAATCAATAGAGATTTGAGACAAAGGTGGAGTGCAGGGGAAGCCACAGTTCAGTTACGGTTCATCTCTTTCAAGGGAGTTAATATGGGAAAAGGGGAAAAGAAGAGGGAAGGGAGGGCAGCCCGGCGTGGCTTTTCTCTCTTTCTCTTAGTTTTCCTATGTGGTTCTGCGTTTGTGTCTTTGATCATGTTAATCCCTGCCTAGCGCCCACCCCCTCGGTCTTCCATCCATAGACTCACTGCCACACACACCTCAGTGCCTGACAGACATTGACAGCCCACTCTCTCCCACACATACACACACCCTCCAAAATGGCAAATGTTCTAAATTCCTCCACAGACCGGCTTACCCCCACCCCACCCCAGAAAAGAATAAAATAAAAACTTCAGACAGGAAGTCCCACTGACAATCTGCAGCACTTCATTAAAGAGAAGCAGTGATTGAAAAGGGATCTGATTAGCTCACTATGATGAGATAGCAATGTTTCAACCTTGAACCAGAAACAACTGTAAGTGCTTTTTAATTAGGCTCACAACACTGAGGAATAGCACTTCAAAACATAGAAAAGAGGGAGTGAAAGGACAGTATCTGGCAGAAGGGAAAGTAAATGATGAGGCAAAGAGTGGATCAGTGGGAGGCCTCTTCCCTCTGCCCTTACACGAGCGCCACTATGCACATCATAAAAGAAAAACTTGGAAATGAACTGAGCTGAAATGCTCTCAGAACAGTTCCAGTTTAGTTTCTCTTTCACTTAGATTTACAGTATTTAAAACTACATACAGTACACCCCTTGGGGGTAAGAAAATGTGCCTTAAATCTATACTCTTGAATTAAACAATTTGACATCCTCAATTTTCTATCAATGGCCTTCACAGAGACTGATTCACATGTATAGACTCTGAGAAGTCGGTACGCTACCCTGCGCCAACACGCCACTCTGTTTAAATAGCAGATCTTCACTGTCACCCTGTGATAACACCTTTCTTCATAGCTGCTGCAGCCATCTGCTTCATGTCAGCACTGCCATATAGGGTTAATTCTGTTGGTATATTCATTTTAACAAAACAAACAGCTTGATAGATGAAGACAGGAAAAAATGGCATGATAGGCTTCCCTGATTCTCACCGTATTTCATAACAAGGTGAAACCTTAATGTTGTACTCGGCAAAAATTGGGTCACTCCAGCGTTACAGTAACTACTTATAGAATACAGCAACAAGAAAATAAACACTAAGGTCAACACTCAAAATACCTGAAGATAGGGCAACCAAAATGAAGCAACAGGGAAGGCTTTAGTACAGTTAATAGCTCAGTATAACTGCAATGTCTCTTTTCAGATGCCAAGTCATAAATATTCATTGTAACATATTGTTGTCTGTCTATTTTGGGTTCAGTTAAGTTCCCCACTTTACTTTATTCCTGTTGGTTGTTTGGTGAGAATACTGACCATTATATGCAAGTGCAAGTTTAAAAAAGTAATACCCAAAGTACCTTTTACATACTTTTGGGTTCTTCTGATGCAGGTCTATGAGGGCTAATGACTGCAGTGTTCTGAGCTAAACGCTAATGTCAGCATATTAACATGCTTGTAGCACTGCTGCTGCTTAGAAGGTTTATGTTTGCCTTATTCATCATCTTAGTTTACCGTGAAGACATGCTAACAGTTGCTAATCAGCACAAGTGCAGATAATGACATCAGGTCAAAATTATTACACTTGATCTGGATAGCAATGTGAATGTACCAAATGTCATGGCGATCCATATA